ATTATTACTATTATTATGATCATGATTTTGTCAAAAAAGAAAGATCATATTAAAGAAACTCGTCAATGTTATTCGTGATTATCGATCTAAACAACAATAATAAATCATTTTAATAATTAATGATAAACTTTTATAATTGGGGAGAAAATAAGACTTTGTTTCAACTTACCAATTTCACCAAAGACTACATCCATAGTACCGATAACTACATATATAATTAAAATTCATAAGTATCAACTTCACCATAGTAATTAAAAGACGGATAAAATTTAAATATAATTAACATACTTGCTACCATGTCAGCAATAAAATGATCAGTACTCATGAAGTTTGAACCAGCTAAATGTGCAAAACCTGGTGCGCGTATTTTACACCTATATGGACGATTGGTGCCTTTTGTAAAAATTTAAATCAGCGAGTATATTTTATAAATAACTGGTTTAAAAAAAAAAAAAGAAAAAAAAAAGAAAAAAAAAGAAATATTAAAAGATTTAATTATTTAATTACCATCTGAAACTAAATAAACACCAAATTCCCCTAGGTACCACATATTATAGATGGAAAATTATTGTATAAACAAAGAATATTTAGTAATTTAATAGTCAGTTGGCAATGAATGGAATAGTTAAACAGCGATATACCTTTGGGTGCTTCAATTGCAGTATAAGTTTCTCCGGGTGGAACAGTAAAACCTTCAGAAAATAACTTGAAATGATGAATTAATGCCTCCATAGACTCTTTCATGGACGATCTATTAGGAGGAACTATTTTCCAATCATCGGTTTTAACAGCTCCGGTTGGCATTTTGTTCAAACATTGATGAATAATCCTTAGACTTTGTCGCATTTCTTCGACACGACAAAGAAAACGATCGTAACAGTCACCTTTTGTACCAACTGGGACATCAAATTCAACTTTATCATATGCGTCATATGGTTGAACTTTACGTATGTCCCAATTGATACCTGAGCCACGTAACATCACACCAGAAAAACTATAATCCAGTGCTTGCTGTGCAGTAACTAAACCAACATCCATAGTCCTATTTTTCCATATACGATTTGCTGATAAAACCTCTTCAACTTCATCTACGCGAGCACCGAATTGTGTTGCCCATTGATATATATCTTCCATCAAGCCTAATGGCATATCCTGAGACACTCCGCCTGGTCGTACATATGCTGCGTGCATTCGAGCTCCCGATACACGTTCATAATATTCCATTAACTAAAAATTATAAATTCTATTAGTCTTTTTTATGTGTATATGTGTGTATATATATATATATAAAATATATCGAATGTAAAAGGCACTAATCACTGCAAATAAAATAAAATAAAAATATTTATTGTAACCTTTTCTCTTTCCTCAAACATCCATAAGAAAGGTGTCAATGCACCGATATCTATAATTAAATTTAATAAATATATTTTTTTATAAAAAAAAAAATAAAAATAAATTTTTTGTTGCTTTTATAATCACCAAGTGCGTGAGACATTGTTGCCATAATATGATTTAATACTCTTGTAATTTCTCCAAACAATGTACGAATAAATTTTGCACGTTCGGGAATTTCAATATTCAACAATTTCTCAACTGCTAATGAATAACATTGCTCATTTGTCATCATTGAAACATAATCTAAACGATCAAAATATGGGAGTGCCTGTAAATAAGTTTTATATTCTATAAGTTTTTCTGTTCCTCTATGTAAAAGACCAATATGCGGATCTGCTCTTTTTATCACTTCACCATCTAATTCCAAAATCAATCGAAGAACTCCATGAGCAGCTGGATGTTGCGGTCCAAAATTTATTGTGTATGTACTCTTTGAAGATTCTTGTGGATCTTTGGTAGCTGATTATTTTTTCGTTAAGTATTGTTAAAGAAAATGAAAATATACAACCATACCAGATGAAATTATTCATGCTTACTTAACAATTCTTGGAATTCTCCCGATATTGTTTCTACATGTGTAATTAATTTAATTTGTGAAAAAAATCATTAATATAATCGATAGAAATAGTCATATATTAAATAAATATCGAAGAATGGCTTTACTTTCAAGGCCTTCTTCGATTGATAATTTTGGTAAATCATCTGTGACCAAGTGAGTAGCTCTGACAGAGTATGAATCATGTCCTTTAGTTTCTGTAGTTATAGCTTTTAATAATAACTTATTATTTGATAATAACGAGTTTTGTTTAAATATATAAGGTTTCGCGATTCTAGGGAGTAAAAGCTGGCTGGATCTACAAAATTTTGAAGTGTTTCTGAGGAAAAACATTTTCGTTATGATTAATAAAAAAGCTTTGGGTCTGCAAAATTTTTGTTTGAATGTTGATCATTAACGAAATAGAAAAAAAAATTTTTAAAAAAAATTTTTCTTTTAATGGCTTCTTACGATCTTATACCTCGAATGATTCCTTATTTGGATAGACACCTTGTCTTTCCATTATTAGAATTTTTGTCTATGAATGAGGTTTTTTATTATCGTTTTTAAAAAAATCAAATTATTGTTGACAATTACTCATGGGAAAGCCTTTTTTTCAGATTTATCCTAGAGAAGATTTATTAAAAGCTAAATATGAACTCTTGGCTAAGACCAATATGGTTGATTTTACCTCAGGACTTTATATGGAAATCCATCAAGTAGAATCAGCTCCTGAGGGTAAACAATTAACTTAATTATTGTCACAATAAATAATCAACATAAAATACTGTTAGATCAAACACAATAACGATAAATACTTTTGTTTTATTCATTTATTTTTAAAGAATTTTCTATAAAAAGAGAAGGTGTTCTTCAAACACTTGTAAATCTTCAAATAGAGGCACAAAAGGTATTGGATATAATAGAAAACCCAGAAGTAATTGAGGCTCTTCGTCAAGACATATCACAAAATCTAACCTTTCTTAAAGATAATTATGAGGTAATAAAGAAACACAGCTTTGATTCTATTATTGTCATTAACTGACTTGTATAATTTATGTATTGATGTTAATTTTGTTAGCTTACAGATGAAATGGTTAATACTTTGTATCAGTTTGGTCAATTTCAATATAATTGTGGCAATTATGGTGGTGCTTCCGATATGCTGTATCATTTTCGAGTGTTGGTTTGTGGCGCTTTTCTTCAATTTAAATTAAGAATTTATACATGTAATATTTAATTAATTAAAATGACCTTGGACTAATATCTATGCATATAGTCAACAAACAATGAACTCAATCTCTCTGCATTATGGGGAAAGCTTGCTTCCGACATTTTGGATTTAAATTGGGATTCTGCTTTAGAAGACGTTCAACAATTAAGAGAGACATTTGACCAAAAGGTAATAATAGTAATAATAATAAAACCATAATTTTAACGATTTTAATGAGTTGTTGATCTAATTAAATTTCTAATTCAATTAAATTAAATTCAACACAATCCCTATTATTTGTTCATATAGTTTTTTACATCACCTCTTCATCAATTACAGCAAAGAACTTGGTTTATTCATTGGTCAATATTTGTATTTTTTAATCATCCTAAAGGTCGTGATAATATCATAGATTTATTCTTTAATCCGTCTTACATCAACACTATTCAGACTTCATGTCCGTGGATTCTCCGATATTTAACGACAGCTGTAGTTACTAATAAACGTCGAAAAAATAATTTAAAAGATTTGGTCAAGATTATTCAGCAAGAAAGTTATGAATATAAAGATCCTATTACTGAGTTCATTGAGAGCCTTTACGTAAATTTTGATTTTGAAGGTGCTCAACATAAATTAAAGGAATGTGAAGAGGTACTTTCAAATGATTTTTTTTTGGTGGCAACAAAAATGGAGTTTATAGAAAATGCTCGTTACCTTATCTCTGAAACATATTGTAGAATACATTTAAAGATTGATTTTGCGTAAGTTATTATAAATAATTTTTTTTTTTTTTATGTGGAAAGAATTTACTTATTTAAACAATAATTTTTTTATTAAATTACAATTTACGATGATGATAATAATAATTCAGCGGTTTAACAAAAACACTTAATTTAAATCAAGACGAAGGTGAAAAATGGATCGTAAATTTAATTAGAGATACACGAGTTGATGCAAAAATGGATTTTAAAGAGGTGAAGAAGAATTAATTTAATTATAAATGTGTTATTTGTTAAAAATCGATATTGGGATTAATAATATAAATAATAATTAACAAATTTTTATTCTTGTAAAAAAGAATACCGTTATCATGAATCAAAATCATACATCTATTTATCAACAAATTATTGAGCGAACAAAACTTTTAACATTTCGTTCTCAATTTTTGGTCTCTGCTATTGATAAACGTCAGCAGCAGCAGCAGCAGCAGCAACAACAACAACAACAACATCAGCAACAGCAGCAACAGCAGCAACAGCAACAACATCATCAGCAACAACAACAAAATAATATTGTTGAAACTGTCATAGAATAGAGAGATATATGTAAATATTATATAAATATATATATATAAATTCTAATTTTTATAATATTATTATTTATTAATGTAATTAAATATATCTAGCTAATCTTTTACATTATTTGCTAAAGAACTAAATCATATAAAATTATTGCTATTATTATTTTTTATTTGATTTTTTTTTTGAACCAAGTGATTCTATGAAATTATCCAAATTAAGATCTTCATATTGAGAATCGTCCCATAAATTGTCTAACCCTTCTAAAATGTTCTTTGTGGACAATTTTTTATGCTTTGAAACTATATCACTACTGCTGCTACCACCATCGCCACCACTAGAACCACCTTTTCGATTATCTAATGTTACATTAAATAAATCAAGTATTTGATCAGTGTCCATGCTTTGTAAACCAGAGTTTTGTTGGTTTACAACAGAATTTGCGATATTTAATTTGAACTTTTGTAATCTATAAATAAAATATAATAAAGTCATAAGTATGCATAATTATAACCGTATAAAATAAAATCAAATTCATACCCCATGATCTTTTCTTCTAATGTTCCTTTTGTAATTAAACGATAAACATTCACTACTTTCTTTTGTCCAATACGATGTGCACGATCCATAGCTTGTAAATCTTTCATTGGATTCCAATCATGTTCAACAAAGATAACAGTATCTGCACCTGTAAGATTAAGACCAAGTCCACCTACGTGTGTAGTTAACAACAATACGTCAATTGACGGATCTTTGTTGAATTGTTGTACGATCGCATGGCGTTTGTTAGTATCAATGGAACCATCAAGCCGCATGAATGTTACTGATGGCATTAACGGTTTGAAAAGATCATTTTCAATAATATCTAACATAGTTTTCAATTGACAAAATATTAATGCACGATGTTGGCTAACTGCACCAGCTCCGAGTGTATTCTCTTCGGTATCATTATTAACTCCAATACCGCAATCAAGCAAAAGTTGTCTAATTATTATTATTAAATTAAAAAAATAAAAAAATAGATGATAGTATTAATTTTAAAAAATTTTTTTATTAAAAAAAAGTTCAATAAATAAATTTAAATACTTTAACGCAAGAAGCTTGGGCGCGTTTTCTAAATCACGTAAGGATGATCGAGTATTTTTCAAACGATCCATAACTTTATTGTATTGAGGATGTTTTTCATTCATAACCAATAAAGGATGATTACACAATTTACGAAGGTATTGCAAAGCTTGAAATATATGGGTAGTCTTCTTTACACCGCCGCCTTCTTCATTAGCATCTTCCATGTTCGTATCCGTAGGACCTTTTGTTTGTGATTTAGCAAATTCTTCGTAAAGTTGTTTCTAATCAGAAATTGCAAAAGAGGGATGAAACATTTGAATTTAGTAAAAATTTAGTTAAAAAAAAGAATTATTTTTTGAAAGATTTCCTGGATGTGTGATAACAAATACGAACCTGTAGATCGCTGAGTTCACAATAATAATCTTGAATGATCTTGGGTGGTAGATCATTCAATACATCTTCTTTAAGACGACGTAATAAAAATGGCAATACTTGTTTGTGTAGAGCTTCTAATGCAAGAGCACCGGCTTCTTGCTCTTTCGATGAGCTTTTGCTATCTCTACTTGATAAAATAGGTTTACCAAATCTATCATTAAATTGTTTTTCAGTTCCCAAAAAACCTGGCATCAAAAAATCAAAAAGTGACCATAATTCTAATACATTATTCTTTTTTAAAAAATAAAAAATAAAAAAAATAAATATATTAACTTATTTCCTCAACAATATACACACATGTAATTTTTGAATAAAACCCCAAACCTGAATTGGAGTACCAGATAAAATTAATCGATGATTTGCTTTTATGGTTTTAACTGCTTTAGTTATTTTTGTCTTTCCATTTTTGATCACATGTCCTTCATCTAAAATACAATAATTCCAATCTATTTGTGATAATTCATCAAGATCATTACGCAAAATATCATAGGACATGATCACTACATCGTGACAAAAGATTTTTGGTCTTAATCTAATCATTAAAAAAAGGAGAGAGATTATTAATCAGTAAGATACTTATTCATTATTATTATGAGATTTATTAATCTATTACATATTGCTCGCTGTACCTTTCGCGATCTTTAGGGTTACCAGTGTAAGTTAATGGTTTCAAATCATCAGTGTAATTTATGATCTCGTGATACCAATGACCTGTTAATGTTGGAGGACAAACTACCAATGAAGGACAATCTAAAGATTCTGTGGCGTTATGTTTTTGAAGACGGGCATAGTGATCACTAGCCAATATACAAATAGATTGTAAAGTTTTTCCTAATCCCATATCTAATAAATTTATTTATTAAATAATTAGTATTGGTTTTTAAACGATCAAAAAAATGATTGATTTATTAATAATATGCATACCATCACATAATATACCATGTAATTGATATCTGTTTAGGAAAGCCAACCAATTGACACCTTCTTGTTGATATTTCCTTAATTCTGCTTTTATTTTTACCGGAATTTCATAAGGATCCAATTTACTGCTATCAAGAAGCTGTCCAAGAAATTTACGTTCATGCTCACGATATTGTAAAAATTCTTTAGATAATCCTGGGGGGTCAGGTATACCGGCCTTTATTATTAATAATTTTGGATAGTGGAAAAAATAAAATTCATTTAAATATAAAATTATGTACTTGTGCAGCATTATTATTTTATAAAATTTCTACTTACTTCTAATGGTACTAATTTGATCAACATTGCAAAAGTATTGGTACTCACAAGACGAATATTTTCATCAGCGTCACTCATTCTACCCAATATTGGAACAATCAAAAAAATAACATAAGGAAGTATTTTTGCATCCATAGTTTGAACAACATCTATTGTATATATTTTTAAAAATATTAAAAATATTATAATGATACTATATAATAATTAAAATAGATAGTAAAACATACGATAAACAAGTTCAACGGCTCCTTGTCTATGAATCAAATTTTTAGAATCTCCTAATAAAGGCATTACTTGATCAATTATTAACTTCATACATGGCATTGTAATTACATTTGCAATTGAAGCAAAACATCTCGCTGCCATTGAACGTATTACTTGATATTGACATTTGGCAGTTTTAATAATAAAAGGAAGTAATTCCGTTATCTAGATATAACAATTTATTAATTTTTTAAACAAACGATATTGGTAATTTGATCTAAATTAATTAATTATAATATAAATATGATTACAGAATTTTATAATTTTGTATATGCACCTTATTATGTAACGATTCATTAATTGCTGGGACTAATGATTGAATTAATTGAAGAGAATCGATTATATCTTTTCCAACATTTTGTGAAATCATTGCATCAATTGTTTCATCATCATCTATATTACAATGTCATCAAAATATATTAGTTAATAAATTCTCATTATTCTTTTTTTTTTAAAAAAAAAAAGAAAGCTACATACCATTATTTAATACGCTATTTAAACTATTATGCATGCAATGCCATAATTTTGGTACTATTTCAAATAACTTTGACCCAAACTGTGAAGCAAATTCTTTCAATGCAGTTTCAGCGCCACGTCTTATCAATTTCTGCGATTTAATTTTATCATCATCAGTTAAATTAAAATCTCCATTAGATGACGACGTTGATGATGTGGTGTTTTTATCAGACTCTTTTGCTTTTTGCAAAGAAAGTATGCCTTCCCTTTTATTATTATTTTGTTGAAATTCGGGTGTTACAGTAGTGTCGGAACAAAGGAATGTACAAAGGTTCTTTACAATCTTATCGTTTGGATTAATTCTAGTACCACTTTGATTCGATGAACAAAGGAAGACAAGATTAGCCAATGTAGCTGCTGATCTTTGTTGTAGTTCGATGTTTTCTTCCTTTTTTATTGAATTCATAATTGATCTGATAATAGGATTTAGTTTAGGTGGTAGGGCTTGTAAAGCCACGACAGCACTAGCAATTGCTGCATAAACAATTGTATCATTTTTTAGTTTTGTAGACTCGTAGGAACTTATGGAATTCAAAACACGTCTATGCCGATCTTGCAGTTGAGTTTGACATTCTTCCTGTTGTTGTTGGGCCTGAGGAGATCTATGATTCCTGTCGAGTATTTGAAGTGACAAATTATCATAAGTAGTAGTGGCAATTTCTGTAGCCATTTGAATATTAAATAAAGGAGTTGAATTTTCTGGTTGGGAGGCTACTACTATTTCACCAAGAACACAGGTAGGTAAAGCGGGTATATTTGAAGAATTGACTTTTCCAACTGTAACAAATGTATTAAGCAATGCTTGACATTCGCCGCGTATTCTACGTAAAATTGTAGTAAGTTCGGAATAGAAAGTTGGAGCGTCAGACTCAAGTATGGATATCATAAAAGTGGATATGTTGGATGCAAATGGTGATGTGTTGACTAGATCGAGGGTATTGTTTCCGTGATTTTCTATTAATGATCTTGCCCATTCTTCGACTACGATAGCAGATAGTTGTTTATTTGAAGCACACGAGGATGAGAGACGTGATACAATTTTATCTTTAAATGATGTATCCAAATACTAATAATAATAATAATAATCATAATAATAAAACTGTTAATTTTTTTAACCTTTAAAAATCTTTTTTTAATTTAAAACAAATTAATAAATCACCTCTAGTGGCCATCGACTCATTAACATTCCTAAACCTTTAGATGCAATAACTCTGCCTCTTAGCACAGTATCTACACTAACAAGAGCAAAATCTTGTTGTAACATTCCAGCGTCAATATTATATCCGATCGAATCTGAATTATTACCATTAGTGTTTTGGGATCGATTTTGACCACGGAATCTTGAATTTGATGATGATGACGATGACGTAGATGCTGTAGTAGTGGCAGGAGTTATTTCCATAGGTATTGCTCCTTCAGTTATAAAAAATAATCTATTATCTATTGGAGTGCCCAACGGTGTCATAACAATTCCAAACCATGTTGCTATATGTTGAGAGGTTAGTTGAATTATTTTGTTTTCTTGACTTGATTTTGTTGTATGAGATAATATTTTCGACCAAACTTCAAGCGATAAATCAAGAATATCCTTTCAAAATAAAAAATATAATTTAGATTATAATTATTTTTTTGTAATTAATATATATATATAAAAGCCAGCAAACCTTTTTTTCTTCGACTATCATATTTTGGAATACAAGTCTCATGACACGATTATCAACCCATTCTTCTGCCTCATCCATACTCAAAAATGTCAAAAGAGTATTTAGAACTGCAGAACGCACTGAAGTAATTGTGTGACGAAAGAATGGATACAGTCGTGGAATTAAGGTTGATAAAGAGTGACTAAAAAAACAAACAAAAAAATAAATTTTCTTTTCTTTTAAAACAATTATTATTGTGATAATGAAATATTACTTTATATTTGAAGTAGATGCTATTTTCATGTAATCCAATACAACAGGAAATGAAAATAATTTTGCTAAATAATTAATTAACACAAATAATTATTGTTAATTAATGAATAACATGATTAATCATACTCTAAGACGAATCAAAAGATATTTACCTAATAAATCCATTACACTTGCTGTTGATGCAGTCAAGTCATCTTTCAGATCTTTTAAACAATCCCATAATACATTTACAAGTTCCGGTATTTTATTTGAAGAATTAGTAACAAAATAATCGGCTATAGGGACCAAAATAGATGCAGCAACAGCTCTAACATCATCATCACTATCCTTGAGGCTATATAAATTATTTATCATCTCATTAGAAAGAAAATTTAAAGCTCAACGAATATATATATAATAAAATTCATTATAAATAAATACCCCAAGACTACAGCATCAACAGCACCCTCTAACATCATTTCAACCAAATCTCTTCTAACAGCTACAGCGTATTTTAATCCCAACATTCCAGCATGACGCACTTCCCATATTGAAAGCTTGTCACCAATAAAATCCCTTTGATATATCATTCTCATTAATATTTTGTATACATTTTCTACACTTTGAGAAGTCATGTATTGAATAAGCGCTCCCAGTGTTTGTGAACAAGTTTCACGTACAGGTGCAACGACCTTTCGATTTTTTTTTTTGAAGGAGGGAAGGGAAGAAAATGTTAATGCTTCATTTCCTTTCATTTTATTTCATCATCATCTTATTAAGAATAATATCATTAATATTACCTGATCTGAAACAAAATCACCAAACCTATCAAGAGCAAAAACACATAATAATCTGATTGCTACATCATCTAACCATTTGTTATGACGTATTTCATTTTCTTGTTGGGTTAATCCCGCTATGTAATTTTATTAATATGCGTTTTTCCATCAGTTAAATTTTTGAAAAAAATTGAAAAATTTATATATATTGTGTGACAATTTACCTATACGGCCTGCACCATTTCCATGAACTTTAAGAATCTCCCTTAATCCAATTCCAGCACCATGTCTAACTTCCCAACATGGACTTTTTCAAAAAAAAAAATTCGAAAGTTTATATGCACATTCACACACACACACACATATATATAAATATAATATCAAAACATAGTAAAGACATACTCAAATAAAGCCAGGCTTAATGATTCACAGACTTTTTCAAATGGCCATTCATTTAATTGATCATCATAATTATACATAGAAGGATCTTTTTTAGATTCGACTACAATTTTACCAGAACAAGGTTGTGGTGTAAAATCAAATTGGCTATCGGATTTTATTGAATCTGTAAAATATTTATTAATAATTAATTAATATCTATTGATGTAATTATTGTATAACTAAATATTTATATATTATAACCAATCATTACCCTCTACTTTTATTGCAGAAGGTTTATTTTTTGATGGTGACGATGATGAGAAATTATTGTTTTTTCGTCCAACAACTTCTACAACACGCAATCTAATAATGTAAAATAACTAATTTTAATTCTAATATCTTTGACAATATCTTATCAATATATATTAACCAGTACATACTTGTCTTTTGTTTTTGCTTTTGCATCATTTTTTGCTTTCCTTTTTAATTTATTTCTTTCCCTGGCACTTAAGCCAGACATTTCATCCGGTAACGTAATTGGTTGCGCTTGTTGCTGCTGCTGTTGTAAATGAATGTTTAATTCAATTTTTTGTGATGTTGATTGTTTTGTTTTTGATGATGATGATGATGGGTTGTTGATTTCTCCACTTATATCAATATCATCAAATATATCGACTTTATATTTTTATATGAAGAATCACTTAATTAACTTTACCGCGACAATTATCGTAATCTTGATAATGATCATGATTAACAATAACTTACCATCCATGAATTCACCACCCAAACCTAATCTTTCTTTAAGATTTTTATGTTGGAATGCTAAACGTTGTGCAGGATCCAAATCACTTAAATCGAGATCATATTCCTAATACAATCATTATCCACACAATCAATATATATGTATGTATATATATAAATATGAAAAAATTTAATTGATTTAAAAATACCTTTCCTGCAGAGCCTAATAAAGTTTTACCATTTTGTATCACATTCGAAATATCAAAATTATCAAATGAATATTTGTTATCATTTAATGGTTGTGATTTATTATTATTATCATCATTTTCGCCTAAACCAAATCAAATAAAAAAATATTATTATTATTTGTATTATTTGCGAAAAGATCTCTTAAAAAACAAATAAATAAACATAAAACGAATCATCATACTTTCAATTGGATTCCAATGCGGAACATTTTTAGCAATTGCTTCAATTGCTTGACCGGCTGCAAGACGTGTATCCCATTCTTTACTACTTAAATGAACAATAACCTTTATATAAAAAAGTCGATTAACAGTTGATTTTAAATAAATATTTATTTTTGAATATGGATTATTATTTAATTACACTTACCCTTGACAAAAGATTATGTAATTCACTGGGGTGTTGTTTTTGAATTTCACCTAATTGTTGAGCAGCAGTTGACCGAATGGCAGGTGTTGATCCAGTATCTAATAGTAAAACCAGACGATCTAATCTTTTAGTTTTTAGATTACAAGGGAGTAAAATGGTGGAAGGAGAGGATAAGAAGAGGAGAGAAATAAGTGTAATTCGATTAATTAATTACAATTAGTATTATTTAATTTGTATATAATAATCACCTGGTTGCCATTATTTTTCGATTGATTTATTGATTGGGTAGGGTAAAGATTGACAAAACACGATGATGTTTTTTTTTTTTGAAAATTTAACGTGAAAGTAAATTGATTGGTTGATTAGAAAAATAATGAAAATTTTTTTTGAAAAAATATTTTTTTTTTTGTAAATTGTTTTTTTTTTAAATAGAAAAAAAAATAAAGATAAAATGCGTTAATAATAAATTATCGATGTGTGTGTTTTAAGTGTGTAGATGGGTGCAAATTTATTATTATATAAAAAAATGTTAAATAATCATCATAATTATTTATTATTTTTTTTTGTTAATAATAATTTTTGCAAGTGGGGGAATTTTTTGTCAATATTTATATATATATTTATAAATTTATAAATCATTTTATGATCGACAAATTCATGTATTTATAAAAGATGATAGATTTGTCACACAATAATGAAATGGATATTACAAATATGTTTGGTGTAACGTAATAAATATTTTTTTACAATTCTCACATAATCCTTTTAAAAATGGCCCTGAAAAGTATATATTTATAGGGCAAATAATTTAGGCACCCCATTCATTACGTAGTAATTTTAATTCAAATTTATTAATTTTAGTAAAACAATCTTTTAAAAATTAAAATCTATTAATTAAATATAAAAATGTTCTTTTAAGCAAGAACAAAAACTCGTTGTATACATTATTACCATTATTATTATTATTAATAATAATTACTATAATTAAATTGTTTATTTAATAATTATAATGAAGAGATGTTAGCTGGATATTGTTCTTTACCATCCTCGACTACCAAAGTTGGTTCTCCAATTCTTTTAGTATTTCCAGTACAAGTACGTTTTCTTCTTGATGATGGAGAAGTTGAAGTTGATGATAAGATTCCATGGTTGTCACAATTAAGATTAAGATCGTCAACTTGTGCATTGAAAGGAGCTGTTCCGCCGTTACTATTAATTTGAACATTCAAATCCTGAGTGATATCTTGAACTTCGTTTCCACATTTATCAAATACTTTAAAAGTGTAATTGTGACCTGCTTGAAACCCACTAGAGAATTGACCAACGAATCTTGTTGAACCACATTCATTTTGTGATAACACTACTAAACCCGTGAATGTACCAGTGAATACGGCTTGGGCAAGAGCACAAGAACATTGTTGTGGTGGCTCGGAAGTACGTTTAAATAATGATCTTTTATTATATGGACATGTGTTTGTTCTTTTCTTTAACTTAGACGGAGAGTTTTGTGCTGTTGATGAAGCAGAAACTGTGGCAGTACTTAGAAGAGTGGTGGCGACGATGATGAAAAATAAAACATAAATAAAAGATGATTTTGAAATGAAATTTTTATTCATATTTAAATATTAATCGTAAAGTTAGATGATGAATATTTGTTATGTATTTTTAAATAATTAAAAAATAAAATTATTATTAGTCTTTTTTTTTAATTAATAAAATTGTGAGAATTTATGTTAATTAATATCGAAAATTTATTTATAATAATTTTTCGACGAAAAGGAAAGCGAGTAAATGAAACACCTATTTATATAAAAAAAAATTTTTTTTTTCTATTTTTTGATTTTCTTATTTTAGTGCATTTTATTTTATTTTCGGGTACACGACACATAAATAAACGACAAAGAAAATATTAATAGCTTATTGAAACAATTTGCTCAATGTAAAATATTGATGTAAACAATTACTTGCATTAAGATTTCGCTCCTTTCTTAACTCACTCCCTTGCTCCCGTAATTAAAAGATTGTCATTGTGAATATTTTTTTGTTTTACTAATCTATTTTTTTGCGAATCCCGAAACGCAGACACCTCCCAACCAATCAAATCAATTATCTATTAATAAATAGGCACTATACTATTTTTAAAAGGACAAAAAAATTTATAGTTAGATTAATTATTTATGGAATGCCCGGTATATATACAACAAATATACACATCATTTATTTATTTTACAAAAATCAAAAAAAAAAACAAGAAATTTGTCGTTTTTGGATTTTTAATATTGTATCCAAGCTTATGTTATCATCTCCCATACACTTTTCTTTCACTTATGTTCTCTCTTCCTATTTATTTGCACACGCAAAACCACAAAAATGATCAAATACTTTAAGAATTAAAGTTTGCAATAATAAATACATTAATGGATCAGTAATCTTCATACATCTAATATTAGTTATCATTTTAAAATAATAATTTAATATGCAGGAGTAAATTAAATTGATGTATACTTCATCCAATACCTTTGAATCAAAGAAATTATTGTGTTTGTTAAAACACTTTACATTGCCTCATGCAGTTTTTAAATGGCTTGGGATACTATTACGATTTGGAGTTCTTCTAAGCCACACTAGCAACGCATATATATTAATATTAATTAATTAATTGATTGACATATTTGATCATAAAATTAATTAAATATTTCATATTAATATACATATTTCATAATCGAATATTAATTATATAATCGAATAATATTCCCACATCTTTCTTTATATGCAAATTTTTTATTCTCAAAAAATTATTTGATTAATTATATTTTCATAGTATTCTACATCACTTTTATATTCGCTAATAATAATATAATATAATAATAATTAGGAAAAAAAAGTGTTTGTAAATAAGCCAGCGATAGAAAAAAATAATAAATAAATAATACCTTCTAATATTTATACAATTTCCATCAATATTCTTGATTACTTTTGACAGTTTTGAAATTATCTCATTATCTAATTCATCTTCTATGCTAGAACTATAAATATCCAACCATTTCAATTGATACTCTATATTTTCCATTAAAGCCATTAAATAATCCATTGTGAAGTTTCTAAATAAAGGAAATCCCAAATATTTTAACTTTACATTTTTACTCCCCTCTTTCTCATCGTCAACACTTCTTTTGATATTTTCTAAAAATAGTTTGAACGATTGCAATGTAAATGTACATTTAATATTTAACTTGAAAACTTGAAGATTTATTGGTATCGATGATCCAATTTCTGCTAAACAATCCGATAAATCTATAACATTTGAAGCGAAGGTATTAGAAAATGACGATAACGATGATGAGCTAGTTGTTCTAATTGTTGATATACTTGTCATAGTTGTTGCTGTAGAAGAAGAAGAAGAAGAAGAACTTGATGGTGGTGATGGTGGTGATGATGTTGATGATGATGTTGATGATGATGACGTTGTTGTTGTTGTTCTAGAAGACGATCTATCGTAAACATTATTACTGTTTCTATTGCTGTAAAAAATATGATTAACACTACGTATATAATCTAATTCGTTACCAATCGAATCTACGATTTCGAAATGTTTTAAATTTTTACAAGATTCGAAAAATGACGAAATTTTTGTTGACTCAACGTTTATATTTACAAATGTTAGTAAATACTCGAGATTTTTATTATGCTTGCCACAAAATTCCAATAAACTTTTTTTATGTAATAATAAACTTTCTATGCCAATTAATTTTAACTTTATTAGTTTTTTATTCGAATTTTTCAAAATATATTTTAACGTCTCAATTGGTATTGATGAATAGTGGATCGTTAAAGATTCCAAAGAATTAAAAAATTGCCCACAAAATTGGGAAGAGGAAGATGACAACGGCGGTGATGATGAACTTTTTTCTTTTTGCTCTACCACTACATCTTCATTTTCTTTAGCAAAATTATAACATCTAACAATTTCTAAGCCTTTTAAATTTTGTAATTCTCCAAAAATGATTAAAGGAAATTCGCCAAAGAAATTCACATCGTAAAGATTTAAATAGGTCAGTAAACTATAACTGCCTAAAGTAATACCTTTATTATTATTACCATTATCACTATCACTATTGCCAATATTAACATCGTCACTTAATTGTCGTTGTTGTCTTTGTAAAGAATTAAAAATGGGGCTTAAATCTAAAGCAAATGAACTATCGTTTCTGCAACAATCACAAATCAATTTATTCTCGATTGATAATTCCAAAAGTTGATCTTGCGATTGGATAAATTTTGTGATATCGTCTACGGTAGTTGAGTGTAACGGATATTCGAAATAATTCAACGATAATCGTAGGACACGAAGATTTCGTATAACATGTGATGCTTTCAAGTATAATCCTGCTCTATATTCACCCAAACCAGTAAGTTCTCTTAAATTCATAATGTTAACATTAGATGAAACCAAATCAAATACATTAGTTGTGGTTTTGTTTTCTGAATTTAATATAATATGATTCAGATTTAAAGAATATGTCAAAATATTAGATAACAATATATCAAACAGTGATTTTTCTTTAATCGTTGCCTTCATTTGATGATTAGTAATTCCTCCTTCCATCACTGATAACCAATCGCCAACAGCCTCCACAACATTACCAATAACCAATGATCTCATAAATGTGATGTAATCAAATAATGTATTACCATCGTCGATGTTAGTTGTTTGTAATTTTAGTTTATCTTCTTTAGAGAAGTTTGTGATATAGGCATCTAATAATTTTTTTGCCTGTTTAGGTTGTAATCTTGTGAAAAATGGGTCGCTCCACAGGTAAGGTATTCCCACCACACACCATTGTCTATTCGTTAATACACATGAATGTAAAGTTCTTCTCCTTATCAAATAATTTTCTTCTTCCCTCATAATTATTTCGTATATATTTCTTAAACATAAATCACCAAGTCCTAAATATTTCATTCTATTATATATATTATAACGAAGAAAAATATTAAAAATATTTTTTTGGTGTATATAGTAGAATTAGGAAAATATTTATATTTTTTGAAAATTTTTTTTTCGATAATATTTCTTTTTTTTATAAACAAATAAGATAATATAAATGGTGATTTATT